ATCCAGAGTACCTCTGTTCTTCCCTAGCCACCCCATCTTATTGTGAATTAGCATCCACATATCAGAGAAAACATTCAGGCTTTTGTTTGGGGAGATTGACTTATTTTGCTTAGCATAATATTCTCCAGTTCCATTCATTTACCAGAAAATGTCATAATTTCATTCTTCTTTAAGGCTGAGTAATATGCCATTGTGTGTGTGTGTGTGTGTGTGTGTGTGTGTGTATCACATTTTCTTTATCTATGCATCTGTTGAAGGGAACCTAGATTGGTTTCATAGTTTAGCTATTATGAATTCAGCTGCTATAAACGTTGATATGGCTACATCACCTTCATATACTGATTTTAAGTCCTTTAGATATCAATCGAGGAGTGGGATAGCTGGGTCAAATGATGGTTCCATTCCTAGTTTTCTGAGGAATCTCCATACTGCTATCCAGAGTGTTTGCACCAATTTGCAGTCCCACCAGCAGTGTAGGAGTGTACTTTTCCCCCCCGACATCCTCACCAACATTTGTTATTGTTTGCATTCTTTATAATTGCCATTCTGACGGCAATGAAATGAAATCTTAGTTTTATTCGTATTTCCTAATTGCTAGAGGTGTTGAACATTTTTTCATATATTTGTTGATCGATTGTATTTTTTCTTCTGTGAAGTGTCTGTTCAGTTCCTTAGCCCATTTAGTTAATTGGGTTGTTTGTTGGTTGGTTGGTTGTTTTCTTGAGATTGAATATAACATAGATCCGTGTCACTGTGTCACCAGTTCTGATTTAACTGCACTGTGACTCATATTTACCACCATGCCAGGAACATGGCATATGAGTAGATGTTTATGGACAGTGAAAGTGACTTTGAACTCTAATGCTTTTTAGTAGGGATATGACTGCCTTGTAGTACTTCTGGTTGTGCATGAGAGGGAAATCATGTCATCAGACACATTCACAGTCTATCCTGGCTGTTCTGCTTTGTCTCTTCCCTTGATTTATTAGCCTTATCTTTGCCACACCCATTTCTTAACCTTTGTCTTCTGAAGGGTGATGACAGGGTAAGCATAGGAGAGCCATAGCTAAAGAAGTACACATGTGTAGTCTTTGAGGTGTAATGAATGAGGCCTTTAGAGAGAAGATGGACTGGCAGGGCTACTGCCATTGTTGTTGTTTCAGCAAAAAATACGGAGACAAAATCCTACAAAATGTAGCTGAAGATAATAAATTGAATTCTTTTCTTGCTCTCTAGAAATTGAAAGTAAAGAATTATGTTAGAATTTCTTTTAACTCTCAATAATTATGTTGCTTCAGTCATGTTAAAATTCAAACGAACCACAAGCATTCTTCCTTATATTTTTGAGTTATGAGTACACTGTATCTTATCTATTTTCCCTTGAAACCAATACTGAAAGACTTCTTAATCTAATTTTTTTTCTTTGCTGTAGGTTTTGTTAGTTTTCCATTTCAAAATCTATCATTCTTTTTTGTACACAGCTTCTACCTACTCACCCAATGCTATTTCCAGAGATACAAAATGTTTAGACTTTGTATCAGAAATTCTAGAAACTACTTAAGAAATAAATGATCAGTGTAAGAAAAGATAAATTAAGAAAGAATCAGAGTCAGATCTCTAAGACATAAAAATCAGAATAGGGTCAGAACATATTCATTTTAATTTTCCAGCACAGAAAAAGATAAAAATTATTGCTTTGAAATTTGAAGGACAGCAGTAAAAATAATCTTCAGGTCATTCTCTCTTCTGAATAATTGGCCTGATTGTTCCACTAGCATTTGCTATCAGAATGCAGAAAATGGTATAAATTTGGTGATGCCCTTTAAATTGATGATTTTTCCCTGTATGTGAATATCTTGCTTGCCAGAGCATTTGAATACTTCATTATTTAAAAAATCAAATCCAATCAAGAAGCTGGGAATTGAAATTTCTACAGTTCTATGTCCGTAATTGATGAAGACTTCCAAGTTATTATTAAAAGAGCAGCCTTGTATTCTCAAGGAATTTGTGTAGAAATCACAGTCATAATCAGACTGCTTTATTTCCAAAAGTATACTTTTTGGTAATCTATCCAAAGATTTTATTTTAGAATAAGCAGTGAAAATAACAGAAGTATTAAAAGAGAGATGAATTGTGATTGACAGAGGAGAAAATTAAATCACTTGCAAAACATATTTAGAGGGACTAGAATTGGAAATAATAATACATTAGTGACTGAAACAGACATATTGATGTTTTAGAACCTTATTTTGCCCTATAATTTTATGCTTTGTTTTTCTGTAATATCAAGTCTTTGGCAGGCACTTTAAACAACATTATGTACATACATTAGTATAATCTGTGATATAATCATGGTTTTATGTGTAGTATGACAATGGTTTAATCAGTCTGCCTATAAACCCTTTGTATGAAGTGGGATGTAGCTCTAATTAACATGTCTACTACTCTTCACATTCAGAACATTGAGAGTTCAGAATCCTCTGTCTTCCTTCCCCTTTGCTGTTCCTCCTAGAGGAAGGACAGTAAAGGCCAGGATTATTACCCAGCTGCAAGTGGCCTGCCTGCCAGTGGAGCATCTCCGATGAACCAGATGCACTACCTCTGGCAGGGGCGGGCACACAATCACATCAAGATAGTCTGGTTCTATTCTGAGGAACATATCCTCTCCTGGTCTGCGCACTCTGGGTGCCAGAAAAGTGGTAAAAACAAGAGTCCTGACATGGGCAGATAACACCAAGATGACAAATGGCATTCTTCCTCAATTCAGTTTGCTTAAGTATTTTTTTCTAAATAAAGCAAGAGAAATATATGCACAGAGAAAATCATTTTATTATTACAGGCAATTATAAAATGAGTGGTTGTAGGACACTACAATCTTCTCCACCATTAAGTGTCTCAGTCCTTCATAGTTTCTATAAACTATGAGCACAGTCAATGGTTTTGGGTACATTTGTCACAACCTATCTCCCACCAACCACCATTTTCAGGAAAGGTGTTAAAGATCATTGTATACCCACATTTACTCTTCTAATTCTTGTTAAAGTTTGCTTCCTACATACCATTGTAGGATATGCTGAACTAATATAGACAATACTCTAATAGTGGAAATTTAAAATTTTTTTTTTTGCTGTGACAAATAAAGATCTAATATATATCCCAGAATATAAACCTTGATATGACTTTACAAATATATCATAGGATAAATTCCTGTCAGTACAACCGTCATACCAAATTACATGTCTATTTAAAATTCTAATATTTAATTAAATTGCACTTAAAACAATAGCATCAATTCTCACCTGATAATTTCAGAAATTTAATTTTTCCCAGTCTGGAAGATGAGAAATGATACCTTGTTTTTCATTTGCTTTACAGTTTTTTAATGATAATATTGTGCTTTTTTTTTTATTTTGACAATTCCTTCTTTTTATTTTGTTGTGAACGACCTATTCCTATATTTTACCCATTATCCTCCAAAACATGGAACACTGCATATATTACCTATCACCTTTGCATAGGGACAATGTTTGTGTAAGTCTCCTATGATTTTCTATAACCATGACCAATGTTTTCAGACAATAAAAGAGAAAGGAGAGGGAGGGGAAAAGAGAAGAAAAAAGGTTGGGGGCATGAGTGGAGGTAGAAGGAGCATTATTACGCAATGAGCCTGCTCTTCTCATCCCTGGTTTTTGTTAAGTTATTATAAGGATGAAGTAAAACAACCCACAAAAAATGACAAGCACAACATGGGGTCCAGGACACTCACTCATTGACCATTGGCCATGTCTATTACTAAATATTGGCCAGTCCTGTATAGGAGAGACAGGGGTACCTTCTTGTCTTGGTATATATTTTTTTCTTTTTTCAGTTTCCCTCTTTATATGGAGACTTATTTACATTTTTGCATTCTGTGGAGCTAATTTAAATAATTAGCATACATCACCCCAGGAAACAAATATGATGACATAATAAGCTACTAAAAATATCATCAAGAAATGGTCTGCTTTATCGAGTCAGTAGAAATAAATAATATTTTGAGAAGCATAGTATTTTACACATTTTGTTTTTCATTCCATGGTTCACTAATAAGAGAAGGAGACAGATGATTCACTCCATTTCAGTCTTTAGATATACTTAAAGTTTGATGCATAATGAAGTAAGATTTCTAAACTGACATTTCATATAAACAAATTGAATCTATTTTTTCTTTCCCCCAAATGACTTCATAGTTTTCACTTTTTTATGTTTTTAACACTGAAATTCTAAAATGCTTAATTATTACTACAATATAAACTAATGGAATATCTAGAAAATGTTAAAAACTAGCAGAAAGAAGCTGGAAAATTTACACTGATATTATTGAGTTATCATTTGTATATCATATTTTCAGTGTTAAATAAAGCATATTCTAAAGTACCAAGAAGACCTACCTATACAAAGTCCATTTGAGGCAATTTTTAAAAATACCACTTTCTGTATGAAAAATTAGAGTCATCAAATATGAGTTGTTTTTTCCTTCTTTTGATTTTTATCTGTTTCAAATAAATACTAATAGTAGTATTTACTAAAATAAGAGAATCTGTTTAACAATCATATATGAAATCTTAAAAAGCAAATCTGTGATCCATTTGGGTAATAAAAATTTTTGAGTAAGTGAAAATAAGAGGAATGATATCAAGAGGGTAACATTACAAATGCATCAAAAGACTGACTCTTACAGGGTATTTATCCATAGGAAGCCATCAAATTAAATCAGAAGGATGTTGGATATCAAGAAGAAAATATAATCATTAAACATGCTAAAACATCAAGTGATTGTAAATTCATGTATTTTATATTTGATTGGAAACATATTTGTGGATAGATGACAATAAACTAATTACACTGAGGTGCTTTTTATTAATTTTGTATTGAATAACCTGAAATTGTACATCCAAGAATAAGCTCATAGGCAATTAAAATTGTTTTTTTTTCTTTTTTTTGTTTTTCCCTATTCACAGAAAATAATGACCATCTAAATGATTTGACAACCAGGTTAGAGAATGCTGAAGACAGAAATGGTGATCTCCTGAGAGCTTTGAATGACACTTTGGGAAAGTTATCAGCCATTCCAAATGGTATGCATTCAGCACACTGAACAGGTGTCATTTTACCTGAACTTTTGGAGAACATAGTTCACTTTCACCATTCTTCTAACATTTCACTTGTACTAATGTCAGGAAATTAGATGCTGGTTTTCTTACCTACGAATTGTTCCTTTTAAGAATGAGAAACAAAGTCACATTTAACATTACGATGTTATTTATCTTTTATTGCCTTTATTTGGCATCTAGAGGAATGTTATAGAAAGAAAGATATAGACACATTATTATTAAATTGTCTTCCATGTTTCAGCCCAAGAAATCTTGTATTAGTGGGAAAGAATAAAATCATATAGATACTGTTCTTTACAATCTCCATGTACTACAACAACATCTCAGTTTATTACAGTACCTACCATCTTAGATGAGAGTCTGTTGCCCTTCCATAAATCTGTGCTCGCAAAATTCAACTCCTTAGCTGTTCTAGCTTTCAAAAGCATTGGTGGTCAAACCATGCCCATATTATCTCTCTATCTTTAGAACTATTGAAATTATGTCTAGGTATTATGAAAGCACATATTCTTTTAGGGATATTATATTTATATTTTAGTCACATGATACAATAATAATAAAAGTCATAAACATTTATTGAGTGTTTACACAATATGCCAATGTTACATGTATCTAATCCTTTATATTAATTCCACAATGTGAATAGCATTTATAATTTCACTTTCCAAGTGAGAAACTGAGACAAGAGATACTGAAAGACATTGTTTAAGTAACATTTATGATATATGAACCTTGATGTTCTACTTCAGAGCCTGTGGTCTTAAGTGCTAACCCACACTATGTGCATTCATATGTTCAATATGTTTTACTGTATAAATTATGATCAGAAAATAAATACACAAATTTATACAACATAGGAAATATTAAAGTTTAAATGGTTTTTACTTTAACACTAAAATACTGTAAAGTAGCTTTTCAAAATTTCAGGTTGTTTCTGCAGTAATAAGTGCCTAGAAAATTTCCAATGCTCAGAGCAGGGTGGGATGGTACACAGCTGTAATCTCAGCAACATGGGAGTTCGAAGCAAAAGGATTGTAAGTTTGAGGCCAGCCTGGGCAACTTAGCAGGACACTGCATCAATATAAAAAATAAAAAGGACTTGGGATGCAGCTCAGGTAGCAAAGCACCCCTGGGTTAATTCCCAATTTTATCAAAAAAATTTTTTTTTAGTGCTGACAACATAAAAATATACACAAATGCATGATCTTGCATTCCTGAAAAAGTCTCTCTATCCTAAAAATGAAACACATTCATTTCTCCCCTCTGGAAATACAGATTAAAACTTAAGCCTGGTTTTGATGAAGCTATATGACTCACGTGGATGAATTTCTCTTTTTAATATGTTCAGCAGCGAATCACAATATGCCCTTATACAATGAACATTTAGAATAATCATTTTACTATATTAAAAGCTAATCAGGTATTCATAGCAAAGGTCCCTGAGAAAATTTAATTTAGCTAAAAAATTTGCTTCATTTGCTACAACCAAATGAGACAGAGTTCATCCTCTCCCCTTTGTAAATGTGTCCCTGAGGTCAGCCCGCCGCAGCCAAGCTTTGACAAGCATGGATTAAACCACCAGCTCCAGACCCATTGTTTTGCCTTTCATACCTTCTTCTGCTTGACAGACACAGCCGCTAAACTGCAAGCTGTTAAGGACAAAGCCAGACAAGCCAACGACACGGCCAAAGATGTACTGGCTCAGATTAAAGAGCTCCACCAGAACCTGGATGGCCTGAAGCAAAATTACAATAAACTAGCAGATAGCGTGGCCAAAACGAATGCGGTGATAAAAGATCCTTCCAAGAACAGTAAGATCTCCTTTTTTTCACTGCGATAATGTTATTTATTTCTTCACACTGTAGTATCCTCAACTCAAATGGTAGAGCTGGGAAGACTCTCATGGTGCTGTAGTCTGCCCTCTCAATCCTAGTCTGGGCACAGTAGATGGAGTGCCCTGCCCTTCAAGAACCAAAGAATCCAAGTCTCCCAACTCTGCCCTGGTGCCTTTTTTCTTCTAGATTTTGTCCAATCAAGAGGAGATTAGGACTTCCCAAAGTCTGTATGATATTTGATGTAGACATGCTAAATACTTTTTAAATCTATTAGAGTAACTGAAAATACAGTTGTTTTCAGGAAACGCTACACTCAGAACTAGCCGAGTTTCATGGAGCATAGAGCTTGAGGAGCAGGCTCATTTCTCAGGCCTGTTAGAACAGGGAATGAAAATCATATTAGCTTGAACTGTGTGAACATTTACAATTTTTAATATTTTATTATTTAGATTTAATTATTAAGCATTTCTAGGAAAGAAGGATGTATCCAGTTTAATTTATATTTGTAGTTAAATAGAGTCTATAAACATTGACATGGATTTTTTTTTTCATCCCTATCAAGTGATTAGACATTATCTTAGAGTACGTTTTTATCAGGACAGTTACTTATGCTTTTGTACTTTCCACCTCCAAGAGACTTCCCCTCTTTATATACTAACATTTCCACAGAATAGCAAGGCACTTGAGAGTGTAATAACAAAAACATTCTGGTTGACGTTATGTGCCATACAATCCAGGTGATGTTTGAATGGGGCAGGGTGCTGATTTCAGCACCGTCAGCTCAACTCAAATGCTCAGAATAGAATAATAGAAACTATGGTGCCAGTGCTGTGAATGGGGGTCTTGAGGAGACTCTTGACTCCATCATGAGCAAGGAGGAGCACAGACACATGGCACGTGAACTTCAGAGCTAAGAAGCAGAAGATCCCATTCCTTGCTATTTCTTCAAAGGAAAAAAAAAAAAAGGATGGGGGGATAGAAAGGTTTTCAATTTTTTAAATGTAAATCCAGAGATAGCCTCTTTTACAGGTCAAAGATTTGATCTAAATAATGATTCATGTTATATAACATTTCCCTCAAAATGAGGGAAAATGCATTTTAAGTAAATACTACTATGGATTCATTTTATAATATATCAGTTCATTCTGTTTTAGATTGATTCTCAACTAGTGGCTTTTGATAATACACCTCACATTTTCTTTTACATTATCTGCTAAGAGAAATAATTATATGCGAATATTAATTAAATTTTGTGTTTTCTATCTTATTTAAACATGAAAGGAACAATTCTTTTAATATGAACAAGAGTCTGCTAAATGGCATATCGTTGTATACTTTTTATTTCATAACACTCATTTGATATAAAATAGGGTGCATTTGTAATTAGTACCTGTCCTGGAAAGCAACGTTGTTTGTGATGTTACTACTTTGTTAATATCAATACAAAATATGTTCTCATGAATTTTCTAATTTCTTTTTGTTTTACTTCCATATGAAATTACCTGCAGAAATCAGTATGTATATGTTTACTTGGGCACTTTTTACCAACTTTTATGCTTCACTGCCTATCACAAAAAGCTTTAGCTTTGCATGTGACCATGTTTTGTGCTGTTTTGAGCTTTACATAGCTGTTCTTTCCACTCTCATCATATTAATGCTAGGTACACACACACACACACACACACACACACAGAATCTTTCTTTATATAAGGATAGTAGGTACGTATATTTGATATAAAATGTTTTTAATGACATTATGAAAAAAATGAGTAAAATATCTATATGATATCTACATAATATGGAAAACTGAATTCCTTCACAGATAGAAGGCAATTATAATAACAAAATTCAGCCACAGAAGCTCAAATGACTTACTTGCCGCAGATTAAAATACACCATTAGGTCTTTGTTGTTGGTGACAAATATTCTATTCCCCATCCTTATGAGTAATTCTTCTCAACTTCTAAAGAACTGTATTTGAAGAAGCACCAAAATGAGATCTTAATAAATGAGCAACTACTATGATATAAACATATTCTCTCAAACATCTCATATTTTAAAGTTAAAAGTAAAACTGAGGAATACTAGAAATATAATAGTAACAAAATCCATTGTATCAAAATCAAATTGAGAGCAATTGAAACCAGCATTGAAATAAACAATTTTAAGAAACCAGCTCAGTGGGTTAGAAAAAGCTAAAATTGACATAAAAAACAAGGTGAAAACGTTAATAATTAAACAACAGAAATAATAGAACTGAGACATCCAAGAGATATTTAGGAAAATAAAGATTAAAAAATAAATGATAGGTTTAATCAAGAAAAATAAATTACAAATAGGCAAATTTCTAACTGAGATATAACAAGACCACAGAGGAAATTTGACACATAAGAGTATGTGTCAAATACTCTAGGCTAATAAATTATAACCTAGATAAAATCTTCTAGAGAAACATCAACTTTATTAAAATTTCTCTTCAGAAGTTAAAGTGAGAACGTTTTCAAACACTACTGTACAAGAAAGCATCAGACTCAGTATCAGAGATGATTTATTTTTCAGACCTTCAGGAAGGTAGTTGCCATATGACTCTAACTATTTCACAAGATAGAAGAGAATGGGGGAAATAAAATCTCCAGATCCCATTTTGAAGCAGTTGATGTGAGTTTCTGGGAACTTTAGAAGAAAAGGATCTATTTTTGACCTATGCTTAAGTAATCTCTGCTTAACACCTTCTTTCTCTTACTTGTGAATCTAAATTTAAATCAATGGTCCTCAATTCTAGAGTAATTTTTAAAATCAGAATAATATTGGAGAATTAAAAAGAAGAGAAAAAGAACAAATAGTTTATTAAAGTGCACAAAACTAAGGAGTAGCCAGGATATGTTGTCTACACAATTATCCAACAAGGGCTTAGACCCACATAAACCTGCAGTTCAGAAACAAAATACTCAAGGATTTATCTAGCAGCTTTTGGAGTTAAAGCTAAGAATAGTCTTAATGTTGTTTTAAACACAATAACAATATAATTCAGTTTTTTGAGCATGAGTTCAAAACCTAGTTCTAAAACCTAGTTCTAAAATAATAATTTACTTCCATTTGAGCACATTTGATTCAATGCTGAGGGTTGGGTCTCAGTGGTCCAGTGTCAGCCAGAGAGCTGATCATTAGGTTTAGCACAGACAGCCTTGAACTTTAAGCAACTTCACTTTTTCATCAGGATTACAATGATAGAAAGTGGAACAATACATGTTCAATCAGATAATAACTGACATAGTTTGAATAAGACTGCCAGCATCATAGAGATAGAATAATTAGTTTTCCGTTTGTTATATGCCCTCTATGAAAAGAACATACTCGAAGTCTATGGATCACTGATAACCTTCAACTATTTCAGGGTTCAAACTTTTGAAATTGCCAATATTTGATCTTTTTCTTTAACCTAAAAAAACAGCAGTTTAATATGGTTCAACCTAATATATAGTGCAGGATAATCAACTATTCTTCAAAATGAAATTGAACCACAACTTGAAAGATTTAATTAAAGTGTAACATAGCCCTCTAGTCTCAGGGTTGTTCAACATCAAAATGTTCTTTAAGCCACATTTATAGCTTCTCTGTTCAAGATGTGCAGAGAAAGACAGAAAAAGAAAGAAAACCAATTTTGTGTGATAAACCTGATTAAAAAACAGTTGGGGCTTGGACAGACTTGGTGACATTTTAAAGACACTTTCATTTTCCTTCTTCAATGACTGAAGTTCTATTCTATAAAGGTTAGCTTTTTGGCTAAAGCTAAAAAATGAAGCATTGAATTAAGTTCATCGAATTTTCTATCTTCAGTGCTAATTTTCAGCTTCATTCCAAAGCCAAAAACTTTAATACCACCTCTGGCCTGCTTGAGTCTCAACTAAAATACCTACATTTGCCATCACACACTTTGCTTTGACAGCCACTGCCTTGCTTTGTCACATGGATAAGATGAGATTGCTTAGTTAAACATACTACCATTCTAATTTCACTGTGTGTGTGTGTGTGTGTGTGTGTGTGTATGCACACATTAATTTGTTCTGTGCAGTTGCAGATGCAGATGCCACTGTGAAAAATCTAGAACAAGAAGCTGATCGGCTGATAGATAAGCTGAAACCCATCAAGGAACTTGAGGATAACCTGAAGAAAAACATCTCTGAGATCAAGGAACTGATAAATCAAGCCCGGAAACAAGCCAATTCTGTAAGCTCTCTTTATTTTCAGAACCAGTAACTTATTTTGATTGTTAGTATTATTCCCCAAGGGGAAGTCCTCCCCCAATTTATCCTATTGAATGATCTCTGACTCTTCCTTTAACTTGAAACTAAAGAGGACAGAAAAAGGGAAGTTAGATAGTTTTCTACAAATGTCAAAAGACATTTCACGAGAATGATAATCACTTTTTAGAATTAGGGATTCTGGCATATTTTATTATATTTGAATTAATCAAATAAATAGCAACAATGAAGATCTTATTATTGACTGCTAACAAGACATTGATGAGAATGCCTTACTCTTGATAAGCAAAAAAGCCAATCTGTGAGGTTGTGTCCTGGATGAAGGAAATGCAGAGAAACAGCAGAGAGGAACCATGGTTTATATAAAATGTATTATTTCATCTGAGTACAAGCAATGATAAAAATTATTTTTTAGTAATATATATGTATTTTTTATTTCAAAGAAAGATTAGGAAATATCTTAAATGTCTTAAAATTTTGCTCTATATTTATCCAATGTGAAGACTATTAAGATAGAAGCACAACTTTCTAGAAAGTCTCATACTAAAGAACCAGGATATTAAGTACCAATGTGAAACTTCATGTACCTAATGATTTTAGAAATAATAATTTTTAAAAATACAGATTTTATGTTATCAGGCTTCAACTTAAACCTTTTTAGATTCATAAGTATTTCATCTCAAAAAAACATTTTTTAACAACTTCAGAGCTAGGATGATTAGAAAAGCATTTTATTAATTCATCAATTTATATAATTTTTAGTAGTGTCCAAGAATATAATACTTGAATGACAGTATTTCTTTTCCCCTTCATACATGACTAATAATTCTAAACAAGGCCACAGCAATAAGTTCAAGGTGAACTTTGAAAAGGAACTCATGACTGACTGTAAAGAAAACTAAGAAAATGACAAAATGACTAATGAAGATGTTGTTACATAAGATGAGAGTAAAGGAGGCAGTGATAGGATCTGAGAAGTCATATATTCAACTATAATAAGAAAACTAGTGTGGTCGGCAGATGATCATTATGTACGTAAAATATGAGGTTAAAAGATAACTAGATTTTGCAGAATTTAGAGTTTTGCTAAGATTTAACCAAAGCAGAAAAAGCATCTCTTATGTTCAGTGCCACTTGCTGTGAGATATACCAAGATGAGAGGGGCAGGTCTTGCACTCTCAAAGTTTATAATGTAGAAGAAGAAATATGACATGAATGCAAGCAACCTTTAAGATGATGCAAAATGTTGGGCCATGTACATGAGCCATGCATGGGAAGAGCTTTCACAATTCTAAAGAGAATAAGTCACTTCTGGGAGATTCAAAAGATTTCCCAAAGGGAAGGATTTCAGCCTGGCCTTGAAGTGGGATAGTGCTGGGTGGTGGGAGGGCAGGAACACAAGGGAAACTAGGGAATGGCTTGAGCCAAGACAGAGAGAGAAGCAAGTTTCAGGACCACTCCATAAAAAAAGCATTCTACTTGGTCAAGAGATAGTGCATAATTGGTAAAGTGAACATTAAATTGGAAAGGTCAATGGAAGCCAGGTCTTATGAATCTTTAAATGATAAATAAAGCAGTATCTATAATTTGGCAACAAGTGTACTCGGGATAACTCTCATTGGATAAACTGAACGTTTTTTGAGCACAACAAAGAAATAGTTTTTGAGACAGGTGAGAAAAACTAGAAAGAAGGACCCAAGTGTAGCAAGAGCAATAGGAAGAACTTGTTGTATCACTTCTATAGGTGTTTTGCAATGTTATCTTAGAGAAAAAGATAATAGTAAATATGTGCCTGCGGATTACACATTTAGCCATTTTCTGATTTAGTCGCCAAGTGAAGAAATTTTAATATTTTTATTATTTTTTCATTTTAAGAAACTTAAAAATCTGCCCATAGATTTATCAGTCATGAATGATTTGCCTCTTCTCCCCACAAAATCAAAATTCTCACATGTGAGCATATTAACTATGCCAAAGTCCAAAGTGAAATAAAAGTACAAAGCA